TTTTTTTTATCTTGTTTTTTCTAAATTCCAACCCATCCCATAATTTCGCAATTTTGTTCGTGACGACATCACTTCTCCTCTCTATTGCCTACTACGCAGTCTTAGTTAGCACATAGAAGTATTTCCATGCATGAAAGACCTCCCCAATAGATTTGGTCTTGTTCTTACCCTGGCAGTGCTCGCCGTCTCCAGTAAAACCAGTTGAACAAGAGCAATAAAAAGAACCCTGGGTATTGGTGCAGTTTGCATTGGTGTCACACAACTGGTCTGCCGCACTGCACTCGTTCACTTCTGAGTAAGTATAGAAAGCAAAAATTAAACTGCGCAGGCGCATGATTCCAAGCAGGCATGAAAATATTTTATGGAGCAAAGAGAAAAAAAAACATTCATTTAAGATTTAGAGCCCTATAAACGTGATGTCGCTAAAGAATAGGCGAATCTTTGTTTACATTTTTTGCCTCATTAAAATATGTTTATCGTTATCCCTGAAACTTTGAGCCCAACATACCGAATGGTTTCGGAAAAATTCACTCTTATAAAACCTAGAAATTTTGCAACTTTAATTTTAACTTTTTTGCTACCCAGCAATTTCGCAGTTTTTGATGGGTGATATTTCTTTCAAAAGTGCTTGCAAAGAGCTTAAAATTGCACAAACTGCTCAAGTTAATCAGGTGTTTTAATTTTTTGAATTTCCAGATCGTAGATACGACCACGGCTTCTATGAATTAAGTCATATCCTAATAAGGAAAAATGTAAACAATGACGTCAGCAAATTTAAAGATGCGCCTCCCTCCTCCCTTTCCTCCTCCTCCCCCTCCTCCTGCTATCTCCTTCTCCTTTCCTTTACCCTTTTCCATCTGCGTTGTTCACACTGGGCACGATTTTTAGAATGTCTGTTTAAAGCCTCGGACAAGCAAACCCATACTCGCCAACGTGGGGTGGACGGCTCAACAAAGTATGAAAAGATGGTTCGCGTTTCCTCTTAGTGTGAAGTCCAAAATGTAAAGAACGTAAAACGTTAATGACATATCGTTGTGATGTATAACATATCAACTTTACTTTTATCACCTTGAGTGTTCATATCGCAGTGAGCAAGAATGGTCTTCCAAGGTCTAATGGAATCAAACCAGTATTTACCGCTAACAGCTTGCTCTCCTTCACTCTCCTTGATCTCTTTACAAGACTTGGCGGGTAACTCAGGAATAGAACCTAGGGGAACTGGAGAGGACAAGCAGTATCGCTTAGGGCAACCTCGGAGACCTAGGGACGGTAAGTCGGTCGGTATAAACGGTGCCGCGAAAGCTTTCAAGAACGGGTAGGAGAGCCCCTGAGATGGTACGTTTTTCTCTTAATCTAACTATACGCACCGATTAAAGTCATTAAAACATTAAATTTTGCGGGCGGAATCTTGTACCTGGCTGTTTACGCCTGCTCGGCGTACTTGTCAGGTACGCGCTGGAGAAAATTCTTCGACCTTTAAAGGTGATTCGCAACGACGATGCAGCATTACAACATTGCCCCGACATTGTTTCAAATGGTTACAACATTGTTCCAACATTCCAACATTGTGTTGCGCTAAAAATCTTCGTTGCGAATCGTCTGCTGTAACATCACCTTAAAGTTAGTAAGTTTGTTGTTAAATATATCTCCTCCGTGACACAAGAGAATCAAACGACCCGACCGACCGCCTCTGGGTCTCCGAGGAAGCGCTTCGAGCTGTATGTGAAGAAGTGTAGGAGACAATAATGATAATAAAAGGAAAAAAAAGAAGAAAAAGGCAGTTTTTAATGTACACTAGTAAACTCTCATGTATTTGGCTTAATCTGGTACTCCAATTTTCCGAGGCATGAAACGATTAAAAATATTTCTTCTCCCCCGCTTGGACACGATGCCAGTTTATCGTAGGGTTACAACCCAGCTGTGTATCGCCGATACCCATTTATACCCCTGGGTGATTTAGAGGGGCAGAGTATAGCAAAGTTTTTAGGCTAAAGATAAATTTCTACTGTCGCGTATTTTTTACGTCCGTATGTAATGTTACGCTCGTAAATAAAATGGAGGCGTACAGGCGTGACCTTTCCTACCCAAGCAATTTCTACAAGCGCGTATCCAAAAAAAAATTAAGTGAAATCTGAATCTCAAGAATCGGAGGTCGAGGTACGGTGTTATTAGAGCTACTACCAGTACTTTTCATTTTATTGCAAGTTGTTACTTAATCTGACTTGCCTCTATTCGTGACTAATCCCACGTAATATCTTTTGAAGTTCTGCACAAAATGCTTGGGTGCTGCTTCCTTCGTGCGGTTGTTTAGTTCACATATATCCTGGTTAATGCCATAATTGAAGCTTTGACATCTGACATCTTCTTTGCATAGCATTAAGCACTCAAGAGAGTTTAATGTCTCCATTTCTTTGAAGATATGTTGACGCAACATCATGTTCTTTATGGAGTATTCGCCATCAAAGCAAGTCCCTCTTATTTCACAAAGCATTCCCCAAAAAAGAATTGTATGGATTGCTGATTTTGCTGAGTACATTTGGCCTATTTATCCTCTCTTCGTCTGAAACATTGCTGTATGAGAATTAAACGTCTTCATTTATTTTATAGGAAGGTTTGTAAACTAGAGGAGACTTCCCCTGATTTCTGAAAAGTCCGGTAGATTTTGGAATCGGATAAATTCAATTTATCGTTCACATACAAGCCGATGCTCAGGAGATTTTGATTCCGAAATCTAAAGTGAATACTTTACATTCGATTTCTGTTCAATCAGCAATGCTTTTAGTGAAAACATTTTTTCCTACGAATCCAGATACTCGCCTGTGAGTACGAGTTTGCGATAAAACGAAGCGAAAGCGGTAACCGATCGCGCGTGAATGTTTCCGAATTTATCAAACGGCGAGAGGTCTTATTATGTTCCCTTGACGCCTACAGATCAAAATACCCTAAAAGTAATAAGTCTAAAGAAATCCCCTCTTGAGTGACCACAGACTAAGTATGTCAATATTTATTGATTAACAACACACAATTAGTGTGTGTTTAAAAACAAAATAACAGAGTGAAGAGGGGGTGTGACTTTGATGCCCACCTGCGCTAAAGGGATTTTTCTAAGGTTATCTCTACACTATTCCGGCTAGCTTTTGCGCCGGTATGATAACCTCATCTGAAAGGGGTTTTGTTCACACATAAGAAAGGTTTTTTCGAAGTGGTTTATGTAACGGAGCCAAGCTTCGCCGCGCCTGATTCTCGAAGGCTTATGGTCTTCTATACAGGTCACTTTAAGCTTCTGTTCCATTATTCATAGCAGTGTAAACAGGTGTTCATACCAGGGGGCAATTTAAGAAAACTTTTACAAGTGTAATTTACAAGTGTAGCTATTGTTTTCAGACTCTAAAACAATGGCTACATTTGTAAATTACACTTGTAAATGTTTTATAGAGTGTTTTCACATGACGTCACAGCGGCCATATTGGTGTCCCAAAACAATGAAACGGCGGCCATGTTGGTGTCCCAAACCAATCCTCTGAGAGCTGAACTCTTTTCTTTTGCAAACGCTTTCTTTTGTTCCAAGAAATTTGCATTGATGCTGGCCACGTGAGTGAAAACAGTCTATTAAATTGACCCCAGACCGGAGTAATTTCCACGTCAGTCGACATGTTACGCCATCAGGAATAGTCTAGACATGGCATGATAAAGTGGAAACTCTCGTAACTACCACCTCGGAAATTCGGAAAAGTGGTCGTAACTTACTAGAGCTGGGTGCTTACGAGAATGAACTCTCATAAGCGACCCTAAGGTAAAACAATAGAGGGTGGCCGCGTACGAGAGCTTCACAAACTCATTAATAATTCGTAAAGGTTAAGTTAGGCTCTGCGAGTGATTGTTGCCCCGCAGGCTAAGTGGTCGCTACAGAAATGATCTAAATACAATCCTGCACTGTACAAGATCTTTATCAACGAACCATTACGGCGCAATGAGCAGTTTCATTAAAGTGTCGATTTATACGAGTAAGACTCTGAGTGGTCGCTTACGAGAGCTTAAAAACAAAGGAAAAGTCCAGTTGGGTAATACCAAAAGTTGTCGCAGTCGTTTACGGCAGCGCTCGTTTACGAGAGCTTTTCATTACCAAGTTTAAGTCACAGTTCAAACTTGGTAGTCGTTACAAGAGCTGGTCGCTTAATAGAGTGGTCGCAATGAGAGCTGCGACTATATATGCGTTATATTAGCTAAGCTTGTTTGGTCAAGATGGGGAAATATTGGCCATTAGTTCTTCTTCATTTTTATTTTCTTGCGTTTTTATGGGCCGAAGCCAAGTCGAGGCCAATAAATACGAAAAAAAAACGAGGCCCATATCCAGCTATCTTGACCGAACAAGCTTGGTCAATAAAGTATTCATCATATGGCCAAAAAGAGGACTTTTGCTTGCGGGACCAACGCCGGAAATTCCACCAAGCGGGCAAGATGGGGGTAGCCAATGAGAATACAGGATTTGTTGCATCTTGCTCATTCGGGTCCCTTAATGATTCCTTTTACAAGCAAAGTTTTTTTGACCATCATCATCGTCGTAGTTTCTGCCTTTATTAACCACTGCGTTGTCATCAAGGTTAACAGGTTAATGACAAACAAAACAAACGAACAAACAGGAAAGAACGTAGCCAAACATCATGCTGTAAATCTTATCCTTTTAGCTTATAATTCTCTAAAACGAATTACGTTTCATAAATGGAAAACATCACCCCTCTTCTTTTTAAAAGAAGATTTCAAATATGCTTAACTAAGTTTTTACTTAACAAGCATGCACTAGAACAACGATTTATCTAAATTTGCCTAGATCTAAAAAGATTCCAGACACTTTCGATGTGGTAAGCGTCAGTGTCCCAGTGACCACTTTGTCGTTTGCCGCTTAATTTGGTGACGGTTTGATTATACCAGTAATGACTGTAAATTACCAATACAAGGCCATTACTCGGTATTAAAATGTTAGAATATAAAGTACGCTCAACATACCTGACTCTGCTGTGCAAATTTCTTTAACACATGAGTGTTGGTGAATTTCAAAATTAATTTATCTAACTTTCTGTATTTTTTAGCACAAATAACAGACAACCGGGTTTAATAATAGCTAATAAAATGTTAATGTAATCTCGCTATGAAATCTATCTCCTGCTAAGTTTATTCAAGAAAAAAAAATAAAATTTAAGACTGAATTAGGGCGTTAAATAGGAAACAAGGTACTGCATTGTTTCATAGACAAGTAAATAAAATATTGAAAAGTTTTATATTATTATTACTCATTTTTTGGTCAGTTTAATTCACCTCTTTTTATTTTATTATTTTTTTTATTTTTATTAAAAATGTGCCGCCTGTGAAAGTCCAATATTATGTTGTCGTAACGTTTGTGTTTTTTTTTGTTTAATTTACCAGTAACCCAGAAAGCTAGAATTATTACAAAGGAAAAATTTACTGATTTGTCAATTAACATAGCTAAACACACGACAAAGATTTTGAAACTAGATTGATGAAACTGAAATCAATTTAATCTCGTGTTGAACAAGATTCAATCTGTTTTTTATTCGAGAGTCATAATTTATACTGAAAGAAATATAACAGGATCAATCTTGTTTCTGGTCACAAAAGCAAATATTGCAGTTACCATGTTTTGATTCATGGAAACAACAAGTAATTTTTAGAAGTCAGGAAATTTTTTTAGACAAACGCGTTTCGCTCCTATCGCCCCGTGTAAGAGAATCCGGATTTCAGAACACGGGGAATTTTTGCTTGTTGAATTCGGAATCCTTGGCTTTGGAATCTCGAACACAACTCAAAGAATCCGGAATCCCACCAACGATTGGAACTTAAAATCCAAGTTCCACTGACATGGACTGGAATAAAGTAACTGGAATCCGGAATCCGCGATTTGGAATCCAGAATCCAAGACTGTCTTGGATTCCGTTCCGTGGGGCCACTCCTAGCTAGGAGGTTTTATTGTTTTATTGAAATTTCCGAGTTGCCCGAAGTCTCAAAGCGAGGCTAAGTGCGAAGCTATTGATATGAAAATGATTTTTTATTCTTATGCAAACAAAATTCATTTTCACAAGATACCGTAAAATTCCAAAAATTAGCCCCTCCAAGTATAAGCCCCCCAAACTCGTAACTCAAAAAACCCTCCGTTAAATCGCCCCTCCAAAAATAAGTCCCCAAGGGGGGCTTGTACTCGGAAATTGCCCTCAAAGACAAAGTAAAACAACGAAAAACGGTAAATTTCCTTCTATTTATAAGGCTAGCCCTATCCATTTTGAAACGCAAATTTCCCTCCGTAGATAAGCCCCTCCAAAATAAGCCACTCAAAAAGGGCCTTTGAAAAATATAAACCCCGGGGCTTATTTTCGGAATTTTACGGTAGGTCTTGCATTTAGCCTGGTTTTGAAAGTTAAAGATTTTGGAACTCTGAAATGGCCTATTGATATCAACCCTACAAAGACCCGTAAAATAAGTCGTAGAATACTACGCACTATTATGCACTAACTATATTGTCTTCCTTTGTTTATTTATAGCTATTTTGCTTTAGTTATAATCTGTTTTACGGGTCAAGGAAAATCACTATCAATATCAATTCACTCGATTACTTTTCCGCCCGCCGCCGAATACCGTGAAAAGAGGCCTCTGCTAGAAAGGAGTGAAAGTCCTCGCTCCCCACATTCTTTACAAACAGCAGGTAGGTTCTTCCTACGTCCCACTACTGAGAATCAGAGCAGCTAGTGAAGGAGCTATGAGACGGGGTCTACAGTTTATCGTCCCTATCCGACAACACTATAAATGAATGGTCTGTTTGTAGATGGCAGAGCAAAAGTAACACATTTTCTTCAGGTTATTTTGAGACCGCTAGTAGTGGTCCGGTCTGCATCTGAAGCTGCGATCTCCCACTTAGCAGACCGGCGCTTCCTTCATTTGAGCTGAACAGGCCGCGGTTTTAATTTTCTAATGGTTCAGTTGTGGATCCTGAAACCTTTATCCTAGTTTAGATGTTTAATTTTAAAATGGAATTCCCCCCCCCCCTGCCCTATTTACGATCTAAACTGCTGTTCGCAAGTTTCAATACAATTCCAGGAATTACAAAACATTACCCCATTTCTGACCGACACGCTTAAAGGTACGGTAAAACGGTCAACAAAAATGTGCATTTTTTTTTTTGTTTATCTGAAAAAACGAGTTGAATAGAGATGTTTAGCGTTCAACAGCTCATCAAAGCATGCCCAACCTGCCGAAAGTAGAGAACAGATCTACTTTTTGCAAGAAAATCTCTACACTTTGCGCGTTTTACCGGCCCAAGTTTGCAGCTAGTGACTTAACGCCCGTGTATGGCGTGACTCACGTACAATTTTATCCAATATAATAAGAAGTCAGTGTTCACACCAGGGGCGGATCCAGGATTTTTTTTAGGAGGGGGTGCACTCGTCTCTTGCTCTACTTCAACACCAATAAACCACTTTTTTT